AGCTCCGAATATGCTTAATGACTACAACTAACAGTTCTATTCCAACAGGAGTCCTGGTGTGATCCTGTGGGTTAATACGCTGGACTGCAAGGTCAGTTTGAACCACAAGGTCAGCAGTTCAAGTTCACCAGCTGCTCCTCGGAAATCCTATGCAGGGTTGCTATGGGTCGGAACTGACTGACTCGACGGCACTTAACAACAACAACAACAATAATTCCAACAGTAAATTTCTGTGAATCTCTAATGCTGGATGGCACTTGAAAGGGGGCAGGTGATCCCCTTAAGTCACACATAAGACAAAAATTGTGTGCTACAGAGCGCCTCACCCCATGTTCTTGTGGATGGGCAGGGTGTCTGTCTGCAGGGAGGGCACGGAGCTGCGTGAGGAGCTGCAGCAAGGAGACAAGTCCCAGAGGCCTTGTTGTGCACACGCTCACAGACAGCATCCTGACCTGAACCCATGAGGCACAGCGGATGAGTGCTCTCGATCTCTCCCCATGGCCCTGGCAGTGCCTGAGCAGTAGGGGATTAGAGCAAACGAAGATGGAATCATGAGACTAATGAGATGGGAAGCAGTAGGTAAGTACTGAGACCTGGCCCTTCTGTAAATCTGGGTGTTGAGCTACTGTTTTCTAAGGTGGGGTTTCTCCCACTCTCCAGCTTCAATGATGGGTGTACAAATCACTGGGGAACGTCTTAAAACATGGATTCTGACATGGTAGGTGTGGGACGAGTGGACACTTGTGTTTCTCGTGGGCTCTTCGGTATGGCTGGTGTCCCTGGTCTGCATACCATACTCTGAGTAGTTAGTACTCTTTCCAGCTTGAAAATTCTCCTCTGTTCCAATTAGATGATTAAGAAATCTGAGTCCACAGAGACACACATTAAAATGGTTAAAGAGGTGGAAGCAAAAGCTTCTTCCACTGAGAAATGATTGGTTTGGGAGGAAGGGATCCTGATTTTTCATATGCTCTGCGGTTTGAGGTACTGGCTCTAAATTTCTGAACCAGGCCAGCTCTGATTGAGGCAGGGAGCAGCTGCAACAGGCAGGTTGTTTGTATGGTGCAATGAAGATGCATTATTTAACTTATACCAAAGGAGAGAAGCATTCTACAAACGTGGGAAATTATTCATGCCCAGGCTCAGTCTGGCTTGAATACCGGGGCTCTATGCCCATCTTTCCAACTCCATCGCAGAAATAGTAACTGAGCAGCTACTCCTGTGGACCACCAGAGGGCACTGGTGACCCACACAAGCTATTTTACCAGTTGCTGTCATGTAGATTCTGACTCATGGCGACCCCATGTGTGTTAGGGTAGAACTGTGCTACATGGTGGCTGAGGTTTTTGAAAGCAGAATACTATGTTTTTTTTCTGCAGCACTTCTGGTAGCTGGGAACCACCAGTTTCCCAGCAGCTGAGTGTGTTAACCATTTGTGACACTGTGAACTCCCTTTCCAGTCTAGTTTGGAAAAGCAGCCTGTGGATGTGCCTGGGAACACACCCACAAGCCTGTCACTCAATAAACCTGTGTATGAATGTGTCTGTCTGAATGCAATGATAACAGGCAGGTGTGGTTTTTTTTGTTTGTTTTGTTTTTAATAGAGTAGGGGTATTTGTGAATCCCTATGTTCCCTCCCGAAGGAGCTCTGGTAGCATAGTGGTTACATACGAATCGGGCTGTGAACCTTAAGGTCAGCAGTTCGAAACTACCAGCTGTTCCATGGGAGAAAGATGAGGCTTTCTGCTCCTGTAAAGATTTACAGCTTGGAAACCCTGTACAGGATCACTATGAGTTGAAACCAACTCCACAGCACATAGCCACCACCGCCACCATGTTCCCTCCCACCAGAGTTCTTGTGTAGTGCTGCGGGTTAGTGGGCTAGACTGCAAGGTCATTTTGAACTACAAGGTCAGCAGTTCAAGTTCACCAACCACTCCTCAGAAACCCTATGAGTTGGACCTGACTGGACAACACTTCACCAACATTTCCTCCTGGAGTCCTGGTGTGGTACCGTAGGATAAGCACCAGACAGATAACTGGAAGGTTGACAGTTCAAACCCACCAGCTGCTCCTCAGAAATCCTATACAGGGTCACTATGAGTCGGAACTGACTCAACATCCCTTACCAACAACAACAAACGTTTCCTCCTAAAACAGGAATCTGGCAAAGGCCTTACATTCTGACAGACTTTTCCTCCTGCTAAATTCCTGTGATCAGCACGGTGTCTCTGGCTCATTAGTGTTAATCCCAAGCCATTCACCTGATTTATGCCTCCAAGTAGCACAGCATTAATGAGCCCAACGTGTGAAGGCATCTATTAACAGAATTCTGAAACACCCTCAGATGGTTGGTTTGAAAAGAAAACTCTGAAGAAAGCTGGAAAACAAGAATGCTACAACTGTCTCTGAGGCTTTCTGTGGATCAGAACATTAAGAACACAATCCAGGAATTTGAGTAGGGCAACATGTTGTTGTTAAGTGCCGTCGAATCGGTTCCGAACCATAGCAACCCTGTATAGGGTTTCCGAGGAGCAGCTGGTGAGCTTGAACCGCCGACCTTGCAGTTCAAACGGCTTTGCAGTCTGACACATTAGCCCACAGCACCACACCAGGGCTCCACAGGGGGCTCTTTATCTCCAGGGCAGGCCTGGCCCTGACCAAGACACTCCTTGAAAGAGAAAAGCTTTGGTTCTTACAATGTCCCTCCCTGTTAAGCTGTCACCCTGAACAGTGTGGTTCTGAGAATTTGGTTTCCTTGACATTTAAGGCCTGTTTTAAATTTTTTTAAATAAAACAAATTAAAAATTTGACAAATTTGATACACCAAACCAAAAACCAAACCCACTGACTTCTATTCAATTCTGACCCACAGCAAACTTACTGGACAAAGGAGAACTGCACCAAGGCTGTAGACCTTGCTCCGGAAGAATACACAACCTCAACTTTCTCCCACAGAGTGATTGGGAGGTTTGAACTGGCAGCCTGTGCTTAGCAGTCCAACACCTAAGCCACTGAGTACCAGGGCTCCAGTATGATATACACACACAGTAATGTTTAAATTCCTAGGAATCTTTCATCATGATGAGTCTTGATTTTGGAACTATTTCGTTTGTTTTCTAAGAAAGAATGCATTCTTATTTTGACAGGAGTGCTGTTTTAAAGATTTTATCAGATTCATTAGTGTGGAAGCCTTCCAGGATTTCAGATGTGGAAGAAGATGAACAGCTATCATGCAGGCAAACAAGTACAACTGTCTTTTACTACGCAAAAGTCTCATGATTTGATTTACACAATTATTAGCTAATTTACTGGAGTCCCGGTGTGGCCTGTGGGTTAATATGCCAGATTGCAAAGCCATTTGAACTGTAAGGTCGGCGGTTCAAACTCATTAGTCACTCCTTGGAAACCCTATACAGGGTCGCTATGGGTTGGCACCAACTCGATGGCACTTAATACCACCAACAAAGCTAATTTATTAGTAAATCCTGACAATAGTTTGGTTGTTGTTGTTAATTGCTATCAAGTCAATTCGAACCCATAGTGACCCTGTATAGGGTTTCCAAGGAGCAGCTGGTGAGCTTGAACCACCGACCTTGCAGTTCAAACAACTTTGCAGTCTGGTGCATTAGCCCACAGTGCCACCCCAGAACTCCAATAGTTTGGTAATGCATTTTAATTTATTTATTGGGTGAATATATTTACATTTAGCCATCAAAGCCAGGCTCATAGGGTGCAGACATTTCAACAAGCTGTTAGAATTTCCACTTTCCAATGTGGTCCCCACTTGCGGACAATTTTTATAGGTATGTGTACTTGCAAGGAGCTCTGGCAGCATAGTAGTTACGAGTTGGGTTGCTAACCTCAAGGTCAGCAGTTTGAAACTACCAGCAGTTCCGCATGAGAAAGATGAGGCTTTCTGCTCCTGTAAAGATTTACAGCCTTGGAAACCCTGTGCAAGGTCACTGAGTCAGAACTGACTCCATGGCACCTCACCACCACCTACCACCACTGCCACCATATGTGCTTGCAGGTGTCTTCAGAATGTCCTCACAGACACACATTTCTATAAAAATTAATAAGGAAGCAATATAAAAGAAAGGAATACATGCCTAAAGTTTCAGGTCCTGCTGCTTGATTTCCCTTGGGCCTCATTTCTTTTGTGCCTTAGGAATATAAGCAACTGCTAATTTTTGTAGTTGATGTGAAAGCAATTCAGGTTTCCTCATTGCTAGGGAGAATAACTTTGCTCCTTTATTTATTTATTTTTTACAGACTTCCTATTGAGAATGAAGATGCATTTGTTTTCTTATTAGAACAAGGACACTACTGGATTATGCTTAGGGGATGGTCAGTAAGTATTATTTTATGATGTTATAAGAAAACAGATTTCACTATGGTCAGCAATAACAAAATAGCTTTTGTAACATGGCTCCTTCTTGGGCAGATTCAACATACCCTGCACAGAACTATTCATGTTACTGAAATGCAACCACAGTAAACCAGACACATGCAGGTACTTTAAATCCTTTCTAGGACAGGTTAGATTATGAACAAAGAAACAGTGAGTCAGTGACACAAGCATTCTAGCCTCTTGATACTGGCATTATCTCAGCATGCTATTATATCTCATGGGCAACCTTTCAGTGCAACAAAACAGAGTCCCAATTGCATTTCAAGTACAATTACAAATATATTGTCCTTTACAACAACAGAGCCAAACAAAAAACCCAACTAGTCATACTGAGGAGAATGTGAGGTTGAAATGTGGTAATTTCACAAATTGGTGTCTATTATAAGAAGCTATGGAGGAAACTAACAGTTGGTTCTTCCCTCCCTGACCAAAGACATGAGAAGGAACATTCGGCACATCTAACCAGATATGCTTTGGGCAGAATGTTCTGCTATAAGTGGCATTTTGACAAGCTTATTTCTGAACTGAATCATCACAGGAACTAGAAGATTAAAACTAGAGAAGAGGACGAAGGTAGTTAAATTACCTTTTTCGGCACTGTTCTTCCCAAAGCAACCCCGGGGGTAGAGCAGAAGAGTCCGATGTTCACACCGGGAGTGGCAAAAGAAGACTTGTCGCTCGCCACGGCGATGTCACAGCTGGCGACCAGTTGACAGCCCGCAGCAGCAGCCAAGCCATTGACCATGGCAATGATGGGGATGGGGTGACTCTGGATCTGCATCATGACCTGAGAGAAGAATGGCACCACTTGACTTCCATCCACAACTGAGCTGCCATACGGACACCTCTCACTCGTGTGACTTTACGGTTTTCAGAGCACCTGTCCTATGCACTGTCTCACCACATTTGTGAAAAAAGGGAAAGGAAGGCACAAAAGAACCACTGTTGCTGTTAGCTGCTGGTGACTTCATGTGTGTTAGAGTAGAACTGGGTTCGGCAGCGTTTCCAATGGCTGTGACCTTTCAGAAGCGGATTCCCAAGCCTGTCTTCCTAGGTGTCTCTGCGTGGGTTTGAACTGCCAGCCTTTTGGCTAGTAGTCTAGCATTAAACTCTCCATATCCCGCAGGACTCCACAAAAAGTACTAACCTGAATTAGCTCTCTGCAAACTGTAAAATTCGGTCTTGAAAAGAAACCATCAGGCAGGAACCCCATTTTACCACTAGGACACCAAGATTCAGAGAGGGCAAGTGCCTTACCATAAGTCACATAACCTATAACGGGTGGGTCTGGGATTTGAACCCATGCTCCTTTCACATAGCCTGGTGCCTCTGTGAGAGTAAACGTCACTCCAACTGCTGCTCTAGCAGCCGGCATGAAGAAGGGTGCTGATTTTTGTTATCTCTGGGGAACAACAAAATCTTTCACTACAAACAAACAAAACCCGTGTGCAGCTCTTGAGTTAAAAGTCAGAAACTGGTATTTGGTGCTTCCATGAAAAATTAAGGTAGAAACGGGGCTTGAAGGCAATTTCCTTAGTAATTACCTCTGAAACTACCACTGTGAATACTCTCCATTCAATTAAAATGGGGCAGGGAGAGGGCACCCTGCAGTCTTCATAATAAAATTCCTAAAACTGAGCCCTTGACACAAAGAGGAGAGACACAGACCTGTTCATGTGATCCACAGAACTTTAACTTCCTTTTGCTGCTAACAAAACTACCTAGTTTATCTTCACTTTTTCATGATACTCTAAACACACTGTGTTGCTATGACAACTTCATTTTAGAAATTGTTGCTCTTTAAACTTCTGGAAGGATGGAAAAGGATAGCAAGGGAATCTGGGCTTGTTTCCCCAAGGTAGCAATCCAAAGGACAATGACCTCCCATTGATATGGAGTTTTTGCCTAAGAAATTTATCTTTCATATTCATAAACTTTGGACATTTCTTTGCTTTATGATAAAATAAACATCAATGATATATTTCAGGATATGATATGATATTCAATAGCAGTAGTTCTTAACTCTTTGGAGAGGTCATCTTTTGAGAACTGATACATGCTAAAGACCTTCTCTCCAGATGAATGCACAGACCCATGTAAACAAATGATTTTCAATAATTTAGAGCAGGCATAGGGAATGTCCAGCCAGCTAAATCATTTGGTCTGGCCCTGCCAAGGCAACCACAATTGCAGCCATCATATTAGGTGTGAGTTAATTAAATGTTTAACCAAATATAGCAAGCTAATTTTTAAGTTGATAATTTTGTTTGGCCCATGAATGATGTCTCTCCTACTTTGGACATATTGTCCGGAGGAAACAATCGTTGGAGAAGGATGTCATGCTGGGTAGGGTGGAGGGTCAGAGAAAAAGAGGAAGACCCCCAACGAGATGGATCAGCCAGGTGGCATCATTGATGGACTCAAGTGTGGCAGCGGTAATGAGGTTGGCCCAGGATCGAACATTGTTTCGTTCTGCTGTGCATGGGGTCGCTATGAGTCGGTTCCGACTCGATGGCACCTGACAACAACAACAACAACAATGAATGATGTTATAAATAGCCAAATGGACCTTGGCAGAAAGAAAGGTTCCCCACTGCACATGTATGGGGTCCATAAACTTTAGGGATCCCTGGTGGTACAGTGGTTAAGCACTTGGCTATTAACCAAAACAGTACAAACTCAGCAGCTGCTCCCTGGAAGAAAGCCTTGACCAGCCCATTACAGCTTGGGAACCCTATGGGGCAGTTCTAGTCTGTCAGGATCAACTTGACCCCAACAGGATATGCACTCTAGGGTAAGGGTGGGAAAGGAATGGAGATAGAGCTTAGTCTCAGTATATTGGAATAACAAGGGAAAGAATGCACAAGAGCCTCTAAGGTCTTGCTACAAAGCTAAAAGAGTTTGTTTTAGCTCTAAGTGTTGTGCCTTTATCGGGTACACTGAAGTTACTTATAAAAAGTCAGTTGGCTCTGGTTCCTTGGAAAGTCAATGTCTCCTCTGTCTGCCATTTATGAAGGGCTAGGATCTCATCAAACCAGCTGGAAAGATACTTAGGTAATATAGTATATCACGATAACATTTAAAAGACTTATGCATTTGATTTAGGAATTCTACTTATAAGAAATTAGTAAAAAAAAAAAAATGCACTTGGCATTCTTAAGTTGAAAGAACTGAAGGAAATATTCAAGCCTCAAGTTAAAATGTTGAAGGAGTCTATGGATAAGATATTGAATAATGCGGGAAGCATGAAAAAGAAAATGTAAAGAATACACAGAGTCACTGTACCAAAAAATTCATCGACATTTAACCATTTCAGGAAGTACCATATGCTAAAGAACTGATGTCATTAAAGTCCAGTTGTGCTGAAGGCATTGACAAAAAACAAGACTCCAAAAACTGATATAATACTGAATGAAATGTTACAACACGTGGAAGCAATGCTGGAAGCACTCACTAATCTATGCCAAGAAATTTGGAAGACAGTAACCTAGCCAACTGACTAGAAGAGATCCACATTTGTTACTATTCCAAAGATAGGTGATTCAATAGAATGTGGAAATTACTGAACAACATCATTAATATCAAACACAAGTTAATTTTTGCTGAGGATAATTCACAAATAATTGCAACATTATATCGACAGATTTGCCAGAAAGTCAAGCAGGGTTCAGAAGAGGACAAGGTGATGTCAGTGCTGACTGCTTAAAGCAGAAATAACAGAAAGATGCTTACCTTTGCAAAGGCATTCAACATTGTGGATCATAACAAACTATGGATAACATTGCAAAGAATGAGAATTCCAGAACACTTAATTGTGCTCATCAGACAGTCCTTCAAAGAGAACAAGGGGATACTGCAATGATTTAAAATTGGGAAAGGTGTTTGTCAGGGTTGTATCTTTCCATTATATATTTAATCTGCATGCTGAGCAAATAATCCACGAAACTGAACTATATGAAGAAGAATGGGTCGTCAGAATTGGAGGAACACTTATCAATAAACTTTGATATGTAGATGACACAACCTTGCTTGCTGGAAGCAAAGAGGACTTGGTTATTGGTACCCTCACAACATCATGATAAATGAGGAAGGATTGAAGTTCTCAAGAATTTCAGTTTACTTGGATCCACAACTGATGCTCATGGAAGCAAAAATAAATCAAATGATTGCCAATTGGATAAATCTACTGCAAAAGACCTCTTTAAAGTGTAAGTAAGCAAGTAAGTAAAGTAAATAAATAAAAGCAAAGATGTCATTTTGAGGACTAACGTGTGCCTGACCCAAGTTATGGTATTTCTAAACACATGTGAAAGCTGGACAATGAATAAGGAAGGTCAGAGAAGAAATGATGCTTTTGAACTATGGTGTAGGTAACGAATAATGAACATACCACACAGACTCCATTAGCCAGAATGCTACTTAGAAATGAGGGTATGAGATTTCACGTCATGTACTTGGAATATATTATGAGGAGTGACCACTACCTGAAGAAAGACATCATGCTTAGCAAAGTAGAAGGTCAGAGACTAAGAAGACCCTCAGTGAGATGGATTAGCAACAGGCTGTAACAAGAGGCTCACATACAGAAATGATTGTGAGAACGATGCCGGACCAAGCAGAGTTTCTTTCTATTTTATACAGGGTAGCTATGAGTCAGAATCAACTTGATAACACCTATCAACAACAACAACAACTAAGAAATAATTTAAAATAGGGGAAAAAGGCTGTACAGAAAAAGATGTTCACCAAAAAACTATTTTATAATATTTAAAAAATTATAATTTAGGTTTGCAAAAATAAGTAAATGGCTGTGTAAACTATCCTGGTGTTTGGATTTCTGTATTCTTATTAAAATAATATTCCCCAAGATAAATATCAGCATGGTGGTCTAGAGGTTAGTATAGCAGACTGGAGGCAGACTGGTTGGTTATGCCAGCCTGTCAGCTAACCCTAAGAAAGGCACTTATCTGTAAATTTTCACATTTGTAAATGGGCATGTTGCTGTTGGCTGCCAGCGAGTCAGCCCCCAGCTCATGATGACCTCCCCCCCCAAAATAACAACAAAATGCTGCCAATCCTGTTCCATGCCCATGATGTCTTGAGATGCAACAGTTGTGATGCATTTTCAGTGGCTGATTTTGGGAAGCAGATTTCTAGGCCTTTCTTTTTAGTCTGCTTTAGTCTAGAAGCTCTGCAGAAATCTGTTTAGCATCAAAGCAAACATGCACGTTACCACAGATGGATGCGTGGTGGCTGCACATGAGGTGCACTGGTCAGGAAGGGAACTTCACATGGAAGGCAACAATTCTACCACGGAGCCACCACAAAATGGATAAAATGGATTTAGTAATGGGTCCAATCTGACAGAATCATGAGAATTAAATAAATGTCTAAAGCATACAATAAGCAATCAATGCTATAATCAGATTTAGCAATAAACATAGTGTACTCATACATACATATGTACGATTGTCCAAGCAAATTAAAAAGGTATGCTTGGAAAAAAGATTTTACAAATGTCAAAATATTAATTATAGTCTTCTCTGGGTGGGATGATTATGGCATGGCGTGAGTAATTTATTTTGTTTTTCTGGATTTTCAAATTTTCCTATAATAGACAATTATTATTTACATAAGGAAAACTATTTACAAAAAATTAGAGAGCAATTTAGAAAAGACAAAAGAAACCTAGAAAATACGCTAGCTAGAATAATCAATCCCTCAATAATCTAGAACTGATTATACCTTCTATTTTATCTCTCTGAATCAAGTGGGTTTTTTTGGTCCTAAATTTGTGTTGAAAGAAGTATAGCCAGAATGTTCCTTGTTGTTGTTGTTAGGTGCCATCGAGTTGGTTCTGACCCATAGCAGAACGAAACACTGCCCAATCCTGGGCTAACTTCACTACTGTTGCCATGCTTGAGTCTCTCGATGCTGCCACTTGGTCAATCCATCTCGTTGGGGGTCTTACTCTTTTTCTCTGACCCTCCACCTTATCAAACATGATATCCTTCTTCAGCAGCTGGTCCCTCCTGACAACAACTCTGAAGTAGGAGAGAAGAGGTTTGGCCATCCTGGCCTCCAAGGATCACTCTGGCTGTACTCCTTCCAAAACGCATCTATTGGTTCTTTTGGCAGCCCATGGCACTTTCAATATTCTCCTCCAACACCATAACTCAAAAGCATCAATTCTTCTATGATCTTCCTTATTCACTGTCCAGCTTTCACATGCATATGAGGTTACTGAAAATACCATGGCTTGGGTCAGGAATCTTTGCTCTTCAACACTTTAAAAAGGTCTTGTGCAGCAGATTTGCCTAATGCAATACATTAGAAAGCAGTAAATGGAGACTCTGTCTCTCATACTTTGGACATGTTCAGGAGAGCTCAGTCCCTGGAGACTGATATTATGCTTGGTAAAGTGGAGGGTCAATGAAAAAGATGAAGACCTCAACAAGATGGATTGGCACAGTGCAGCAGTGGGCTCAAGCATAACAACTGTGAGTATGGTACAGAACCGAGCAGTGTTTTATTCTGTTGTGTACAGGGTCACTATGAGATGGAACTGACTGGACAGCACCTAACAACAAAAACGACAAGATGTAACATAAACTTAGCTCTGCTCCACCTTCATTTAACAGCATTACTGATGGGTCCAAGCTCTTTCCAAAGGTTAAAGACATTGTCCTTGTATCATTTCATTGGTGAGATGTGAGAAGAAAGAGAAGTGTCTCCTCTTGAAATTTCAATGGAATATAAGGAAGAGACAAGAGACAGGTCTCTGGCATGAGCCACCAACTCAGTTCCACAGAAGGCTGCTTCTCCTCTCCCAAAACCAAGTTTTTCTTATTTTCAATTTGCCCCATTCCTGACTTTGTAAATAATTAAGTCTATCATGTAACATTTGTGATCTGTAACAAATACACACTACAGTTTTCAGATGCTGAGCTAATTCAGATACCTCTATCATCCATTCCAGAGTCAAATTCTCTCTTGCATGAACTGAAACAATAAAATATCTAGCTATTTCTCTTCCAATCTTCCTGTTGATTACATTGGAAATGGAAATATTGCACCAGTACATGGTGCTAATATTTATCCAAGGCAATTTGACTTTCTTAGAAATAGTATTAAAGAAATCAGTACACTTTCACACCTATTTTACTACATCAGGCTAGGTTCTATTTATGTATTCTTTTTTAGTGAGCCAGGGGCATCCATGGATTGGAAACATCCAAGGAAGTTGGCCTTATATCCTCTGACGAAGCCCTGGCTCCCAAGTGGCCTCTGCGAACTCCTTTAGATCTCAGCTCAGATGATACTACAGAAGAGATAAAAGTAGATCCTTTAGGGAGAATACAAGGGCTCTACTGGTTCTCTTTGATTATTTTCTATTTTAGCTAAACATACTGAATATTAGTAGAAAAATAATTTTTAAAACACCAAGCCTTAGCAAACATAAGAGCAAAATGTTACATAAACATCATTTCTGTAGGAAACAAAAGACCTGAGTCTTAGCTTTAGCTTGCCATGAAACCAAGTAAATCACTTTTCCTGTCTGTCCCTCTATGAAATGAGAAAAGTGAAGCCTCTTCTTCTTAGTTTCTAGAAGGACAAGGGAACAAGAGTCAAGAATGAATCCTAATCACATTTACCTCTCTGGAATTCACTTCTGTCTTGCCTACTTGGTAAGTGCTCATTTAATATGTATTGAGTGACAGACGACAAAATGACTAGTCAATGACTGAATGAAATGCTAAGTTAAGTAAGGCCAGAAAACTAAAAAAAAAAAAAATTTTAACTCAGGTTTTTAATGAGCAATCTTGGAAATGAGTATTCATTTCAGAATTCAGAGTCAAAACCATGAGCTCAAAAACCACTGTTTTCTTCCAACTTGCCAGGCTAGAGCAGAGTTTAAACCAGGCTGGACACTACATTCTTGTCTAGTCATGTTGGCTAGGAACTGACTTCACTGAATCCAAGATCTAGTTCAAGGGCATTCATGGCTTCCTCAAGTCTCCGCATCCCTCACTCTTGTCGCTGGTGGTGCCACTCGGCCAGAGACTGGAGCATCCACTTAGCCCTAAACATATACAAGTAGGAGCCATAGATCACAACCTCGGTGAAGTCTGAAGATTCCAAAACCTTTAGCTCGAGCATAGTCTTGCTCACTTGCTCAAGGTATGGGATTCGAGATCCATTTGGGCCAAACACGATTGCCAGCAGCCCCGTAGGAACCTAAAACACCTCAGGAGCTTTCACATCTTTGGGAGACTTCACCCACAATGGAATATCATTCCGTTCCAGACGTGCTCCCATCCTGAGTTCTTCAAAAACACATTCACCAGAGTCAGTGACATAGCCACAGAGGATTAGAGTGGAGAGTGAAGCGTCCGGCTGATAAGAAGAGAGGGCATGTGAATAAGAACACCCACACTTGCAGATAATACCCACTTATCCTGGCTTCAGTGACTGGATGATCAGAGCTCAACGAGAAGTGAAAAGAAGAGGACAAAAAAAAAAAAGTATTCTCATACAATTTGATGAACTTGACCTATACCTATGGAAGCAGTAGCTCAAAAGAGGGAACAAGTCCTTATACCCCCTCCACACACAGAGTAGACAGGGATGGGCAACTTGGACATTGGCTACCCAAAATGGGGGGCGGGGGGCTACAAAGGCAAGAAGTGTCTGGCTTACAAGCTTTCAAGAGGGAACCTAGATCCAGAGGGCCTGGAGTAGTATTCAATCTGTCTAGGCGGGGCTGATGCAATAAAATGCAGACGGGTCTCTTGTGATACAATAGTGAATAATTGTTATCAGGACTGATTGTGAGGGTCAGAAATGTAAAGGTAGATGTTTTATAGCAAGGAGGGGAGTGATTAACTTTTCAGTCTAGGAGCGGAAGTCCCTAGGACCATCAAGGGAGAAGGGCAGAGAGTGGGACCCTACCCAGAGAAGCAGTGATGCCTGAAATGGAGCCAGAGATGATGATGTGGAGCAATGGAGCAGCTGGAGACTTTAGATCCAGAGACGGAGAGCAACTGTGTGCTGAAGACCTGGGGGATATGGGTGAAGGATTGCATGGAGGGGATTGTAACCATGGCAATTAGACGATATACGATAGAATGAATGTAAAACTAATGTTCTCCCATGTAAACTATCGCATAATTCACAATAAAACATTTAAGAAAAAATAAACACATTCGGCCAGGCTAGACCTAACTGCGTCACCAGGAAACTAAATTTTTTATGTATGTCTTGCTGTCCAACTAGATTTCCAATTTAAGTTTGGCAAGAAACACTGTTTATACTTAATTTAATATCTTATAATTATTATGCATAAAGAGCCCTGATAGTGTAGTGGATTATGAACTGGGATGCTAACTAAAAGGTTAGAAGTTTGAATCCACCAGTCACTCTGCAGGAGAAAGATGAGGTTTTCTGTTCCCATAAACACTGATGGCCTCAGACATGCTATCCAGGGTTACCGTGAGTTGGAAATGACTCCGTGGCATACCACTACCAAGCATTATGCATGTAGCTAGTGCTCAAAAATAATCATCAAATGAACCAGGTATGACTTCAAGTTGACTTAACAATTATGTAACACTTTTTGTTCTTCCTCCTCTATGTCAGTTGGCAATTTCCTTCCTCAACATGGTTAAAGGGACAGTAAGGAAAAAGGAAGTAGAAATAAAGATGTAATTTCCCTACTTGGATAGACTGACTATAAAGGTTCAAAGAAGTGTTGGGACATACCTTAAAAATCAAGTTGTTTTTATTTAAAATTAAAAAAATATTATAATGATCTCATATTCTTCATTTCTAAAGCTGTACATTCCTGCCATATAACTCTTACTAAAACATATATACCAAGACAAGCTGTCATACCCCATGATGTTGGAGATAGCAACTCTCAGAACCCTAGGAACAAAACCAATACCAGATTATTATTACTTCTTAAACATCTAAATCAAATGGCTGGTTGTACGCAGGATTCATCAATAACCAGAGTCCATTGACTCTGTACTGGTTAAATGTCATGCAGTAAAAATCCAGAAGCTGAATTCAATATTTATTATGATTACCATTTTGGGGTTTACAATGTTGACTGTAATATCATGGCTTACCTTAGAACAGGTTTCAAATACTTCCGCATGGTAGCCATGACCTTGCTCATCCGTCAATTCCTTTAAATCATGCCCAGAAGAGAATACAGGCCCCTCAGCTGCAAATGTTTCCAAAAGAGAGAAGAAAAGAAAAAACTGCAAATAGCCAGTGTTGGGAAGTTCACTTACTTGTCTACTAAATAACTCTAGCCATCCTATCTATGTTGTGGACCCTTAGAAAAAGTTTATCTAATTTTGTGAAGATTCCTGTTAATTTGAAAAGTTACAGCCAACTGTCTGTGTGAGAACGCCAGTTGAAACATCTGTGCACTAAAAGGTCCATGGTGGGAACCAGTGAAAACATGCAACTACAAAATAAGAAGGCTCAACGCCCACGGTGAATGGTGAATTCACTTCTTCTTCTGGTCCCACACTGTTGTTTTTGGACTCAGTCGGGCCTGAGTGTGTTGGCTTATCTGACCTATTGCCATCCAATCGATTCCAACTCACAGCAACTGTATAGGACAGAGTAGAACTTCTCCCTAGGGTTTCTGAGACTGTAAATATTTATGTATCCCAGAGAATCACCTGTAATGTTTATGAGTACTGTAAGATTATTAACGCATCTTGATTGTATGTTTAATTTTAGACTGAGGAAGTTGTGGAATTCTTCAGTTGTATCATCACTGGCTTTAGTGGTTAGTGTGTAAATTTGAATAATACTGCCATTCCTATTATTTATACCACTAATATCAGCATCCAAAAAGATGATTTAGTAAAAAATTTTACTGGAAAAAGAGTAAAGACAGAAATGCGTCAAAATAAGGCAATCTTCTGACACCACTAAAGAAAACACTGTAGATGTCAGTTGATAAACTTGGTAAGATCAGAAAAGACAAATTTACCAAATGCCTAGTATCCAGATCCTAGCCAAGTAGGTAGTCTACCCCAAGGGGCAGTGATTAAATCCATGTTATAAGGGTCTATGAGGGTACTTGGGAAATAAAATTCTGATTTTGATAGGAAGGCCAGCATAGCCAAGTGTGTATCTGACAAAATGGAAGACATATGGTTTCATTGAATAATAATAATTGCTATTGTTCTCACACTGAATTGTGATAAGAATAAGACTTGAACAGAGTAGGAAAAAGGAGAAGCAGACCACTTCTAAAGGGTTAACCCCCGAAAACATTATGAAGAGCAGCAGAACACTGTCTGATACAGTACAGGAAGATGAGCTCCTCAGGTTGGAGGACACTCAAAATAAGACTGGGGAAGAGCTGCCTCCTCAAAGTACAGTCGACCTTAAAGACATGGATTGAGCAAAGTTTTTGGTACCTTCTTTTGCTGATGGAGCACAACTGAAAATGAAAAGTATTAACTGTAAACATCAATTAATAATTGGAACATGAAATGTATGAAGTATGAAAAATGTATGAAGTATGAAAACTCAAAAGTCATCAAAATTTAAATGGAACACATAAAGATTGAAATTCTATGCATTAAGTGAGCTGCAATGGATAGTACTGACCATTTTGAATTGGACAATCATCTGGTTTACTATGGTAGTAACTACAAATTGGACAGTAATAGTGTTGCATTCATAAAAAAGAGCATCTCAAGATCTATCTTGAAGTACAGTGCTGTCTGTGATAGGGTAATGTCCATATGTCTACAATATACTACTATTAGGTGACTTCCAGCAAGATGGTGGACTAGGCAGACACACTACACAGACCCTCTACAACAAAGATATGACAGACCAAATGAAACAGATACTGATGAAAATTCTGGAATCCTGAACTTCAGAAGAAAGATTAGAGAGGTGGATGGAGTGCTTTCTGGGAGGAGAAGATGAGCAGGGGCAGTGAGAAAAGGAGACTGACTGATGAACAGCTGGTCAGATGTGGGGAGCAGTTTGGGCAATAGAAGGTGGTCTGTCAGAGCAGATTCACACAGGCAATGGGAAAGATACACTTCCTTCTTTCTCCCCATGCTACCCTGGTGACCATAGGTGTCACCACCCTCACCCACCCCCAAAGTAGACCCTGCTCTCAGGGAGTTCAGAGCCACAGGATTAGAAGCTATGCCATTGTGAGACAGGGGCTGGCTGCACTGCTTTGGAGTGCTACTTTGGTGACTGGATTTGGGTGGGCTTGGTTCCAGACCTACAGAACCTGCAGAGCCACCAGAGCAGCATTTAACCCATCACCCTGCCCCCGCTGCCCTGTGGTCCTAACAGATACTGAAACCAGCTCCATCAAAGGCCTCCATGAACTACTTCCAGATTGAGTGCCCTGAACATAGAGAGCACTGAGTAAATAGGAACTCCAGCTAGGGCCAGGAACTCTGCTACTGCATTTGTTCCACACCCACATCAGGATGTCCTTGGCTTGCAGGAGCCCCCAGAGTTTTCTCCTGTCTAGGACCAACAGCTACACTGCTTTTTGGTTTTGTTTTGGGGTTTTGTTTTTTCCTTTTGTTGTTTCATTGTTTTGTTTATCTATTCTTTCTCCTTCTTCACTTGTTATTTCTTGAATTTTATCCTTTCTATCTCTTTTTTTCCCTTCTGTTTCCCATTTCCCCCCCTGCTTTAATCTTTCTTTACCCTCTTTACTACTCTACTCTCTTCCTCTTCCTCTTTCCTCTCCCTGATTTTTCTAAGTGTTTCTTAATTTTATTTTTACTTTCTCTCTTATTTTTCTTTCTATAGCTCCATTTTCTGATCCCTCTTTTCTGTTTTTAGTTATTCTTAAGGTTTTTTTATTTCTTTCTTTTATTTTCTCTATCTCCATTTCACTGTCCATCTTTTATCTTTATACTTATTATATTATTTTTATCTTTATGCTTATTATATTATTTTTCCTGGTTGCTGTCTGTTTTTGTTTTTCCTGTTTATTATTTTCTCTTTTCACTGTTGGTTCCTTGTATGTTTGTTCTGTTTTGTTTTCTTGTATATGTGGTAGGGTTTTTTCTCTTTCCCACCAACAGGGAGCAGCAACTATGTCCATACAACCAGCCACAACTGCACCCTCAGCAGCTCCACCCACTTAACAAAAGCCAACACCAGCTTCTCTACCACCTGATCAATGATAGCAGTCAACAACAGCCAAACCCACCCTAAACTGTGGTACACTACTGGAAAATGAAAATAATTTATATGTTTCCATTCTCTACCTAAACCCATAGGAGACAGTTGGTCTGAGTCTAAGAACACATCAGCATATAATCACCAATTACATATATATACAACATCTCTAAAATGCCCTGAAAACAACAGACAATTTTAGCTCACAAGAAGAAACAAGAGAAAACGGTTCCAACAAATGATCAAGATGCACAGACAGAAAATTTTTTGAGGAAGAAAAGGTAATAGAACTAACTTAAAAAGATTCAAAAGAATGATATTTAGGTCCCTTCAAAGGACTGAGAGAAAGATCAAGGAAAACAAGGAAGACACAATAAAAACATCAGAAGAAATCAGGAAAACACTACAAGAACAAACAGAAAAAAATAAATACAAATTTTGAAACAGTACAAAATGTGTGATTAGAAAACAAGAAGATTAATACTAGGATTTCAGAAACAAACAATACATTGCAAGGACAAAGGAGCTGATTTGAAGGAATGGAAGCATGAATTAGAGAGCTTGAAGATAAGTCTTTCAGTACTAGTAAGCTAGAAGAACAACCAGCAAAAGTAATAATAAAATCCTAAAAAAGCCTGAGAGTTATGTGAGACACCAGGAAGAGCAACAATTTAACGGGTAATCAGAATTCCAGAACAGGAAGAGACAATGAAAAGCACATAGAAAATTGTCAAAGAGTGTTGGAAGAAAACTTCCCTAACATCATGAAAGATGAGAAGATAAGCATACAAGAAGCTGAATGAACACCAAACAGGATACGTCCCCAAAGAAAATCACCAAAACATAGCATAATCAAACCTTCCAAAATCAAAAATAAGGAAAGAATCCTGAGATCAACTCAGGAAAAACAAAAAGTTATCTATAAAAGAGAACCAATAAGACTAAACTCCATTTTTATTGTTGTTAGCAGAAACTATGCAAGTAAAAGGGCAGTGGAATTACATATATAAAACTCTGAAAGAAAAAAAATTGTCAACCAAGAATCATATACTCAGCAAAACTGTCCCTCAAATATGATGGTGAAATTAGGACATTTTTGCTAAACAGAAATTTATAATGATGAGACCAACTTTACCAAAAATGGCTTAAGAGTGGTTCTTTGGACTAAGAACCAACAACAGCAGACATCTTGAGATTACTATATGACAACACCATCCAGAACCCAAACCAAATACAGAAGTATTTAAAGTAAAAGAAAATCTACAAGACCAAAAATAGGGAGCCAGAGATATCTATGTATAATGAAGTCAACTACAAAACAGAAAAGAGGAAATGGTGTAGATACAGAACTTCCAAATGGCAAGGAAGTCAAGTCGGTTTAAAGATAAAATCGACTATTTTAAATGGGAAAAAATTAATAAACTATAGGGTAACCTCAAAGAAAATTAATATGCCTGTACATCAAAATAAAAAAGATTCAGTAAACATTAACATAACAGAAATTGAAAAGAAAACAACAACAACAAACACAAACAAAATGAACTCCATGCAGAAAATTATGTGGAACAAAAAACCAGCAGCACCACATAAAAACACATAGCAAAATGACAGCAATCAATTCATACCTATCAATAATTACACTGAATGTAATTGGATTAAATGCACCAGTCAAAAGACAGAGCAGAATGGATAAGAAAACAGAATCTTTCAGTATGCTGTCTACAAGAGACGCATCAAAAAGATGGAGACAGACTAAATGTCCATCAACAGAAGAATGGTTAAAAAAACTTTGATACATACACACAATGGAATAGTATCTAATATTGACGAATAATGATGAATCAGTGAAATACTACTTCACAACATGGACATACCTAGAGGACACTGTGCTGAATGAGATTAGTCAATCACAAAAGGACAAAAATTGTATGAGATCAAGGTTGTAAAATGCTAAAAGGTTTTCTTGATAAAAGAAACCATCTATGATGGTTATAGGGGCTAGGGATAGAGAAAATCTTTCCTGGGCTAGAG